CACCAAGATTTTTCGAAAGTCTTTACTCCTCACAATCCAAAAGGCATCCCTAAGCGCAAGACATTCTACAACATTGATGGTAGTTTCCCCAAATGACCTTGCTCCAGCAATCATCGGTTCTCCATATTCGTTCCTTATGATAAATTCTGCAGCTGCCACTGAGTTTTTAACAGAGCCATCGAAGTTTAGTTTGAAGAAATCACCACCCGGGATGGGGGTGGTGGGGAGAGTTCCATCTAATCAACCTTTGCTGCTTCCTACTAGCAATAAGATTCTTCTTATTGGTATTAGTATAATCTTTCACTACAACAAAAATGGCCTTTGGGCACAAAATTAGGGAGACAAATTAGGTGTTTGTGTCTTTTTAAACACCAATAGGATGGAAAGTGCTCATTCCGTAATAAGCACTATGTATTGTGCCCAATGTTAAGAGAAATGGACACAATCACATTATTGGGCATAGAACCATGACTTTTGTGCCTTTAATGTCAGAAATGGAAATTTTTTATTAATTTGCAATGACACTATAAAGATAATCATGCCCTATAATTTAATATATTTAATGTAAAGGTAGATTTTTTGTGCCCTTTGTTTAAAATAATGTTTTAAACGAAATGAGAAGCACTTTACCTCAATCTTTACACCTCTCTCTCCTCGTTTCCTCCTTCCACCTTTCTCTGTGTTTCCTCGTTCAAACCATGCCTCTCTTCTCTCTCGCTCTCCTTTCCCCAATCGAATTGAGCCTCTCTTCAACCCCAGGCTCTCTCTCTCTCTCTCTCTTTCTCTCTCTCTCGCCTCTCATCTCAATTCTCAACTCCAGTTCACATCTCACGCAGAAACAGAATTTGCAAATCCTTCCCCTTCAAAGCTCACACACTCTATGAATCGTTGGGTCTCAACTTAAGTTTCAAGTCGAGTTCACATATTCTCAGACTCTGCAAATCCTTATCCTTCACACAGAATCTGCAAATCAGTCGGCCTTAACTCTCATCTTATCCCCATTTCCCCTTCAGTTCAGTGTCTGCATAATGTGATTCATTCCTCTCCATTTCATTCTAGGTAAAATGGTTAGAACTTAGAACTTGCATTGGTTAATTTAGTTAATAATTTGTGATTAATTTTAAGGTTAGGGTTAGGGTTCGTTTGAAACAAAAGGGGAACTGAGCTTTTTTCTCTTTTTGGTTATAATCAAAAGGGGATTTGATCTGGTTCAGATTCAAACAAACCCATTTTTGCCTCTTTCATCTCTGCCTTTCTCAGACTTCGCCGATGGATGCCGTTTGTTAGCTGGACAACAATAGCATCAAGGACTCCTCTTGGATCTGGGCTTTTCCTTTGTTATTTTTCTATGATTTTTTGTGTATTTTTTAACAACTTTTGTGTGTGTGTGTGTTTTTTTCCTTGTATTTCATCCTGCAGGAAACTCAACGTCTCCTCAGGGAACCTTGTAAGTGATTCACTTTTTTCTCACTAATTATTTGGAGTTTGAATTGAGATTGTGCTTAAATTTGTTTGATTTGTCTACAAGTTTGTTTTATAAAGAAAATCAAAGAAATGTGAGTTTGATAGTTGGTTTTAGGCTTTAGATGTAATATAAATATGCTAATTTTGTTGCAGTCTAATTGATGGAACTCTGCAGGAGAGTGTGAAGCCTTTCTCATCTAATTTGGATTGTATATTGTTCTACATTGGAAGACTGCATTTAATTTCTAAAGTGAATCAAGCGGTAATTGCAGGTTACAATGTGTGCACTACGGTACCATTGGGCTTGTTACAATGATGTCAAGGCCTTGTGTAAATTTTCCTTGTAGTGTGGCATTCCCTATAGCGGTATGTCTTGTTCTTGGATTTTTTATTTATCTGTGTATGTTTTTAGATGCTTTGGTATTGTCCTTACATTTATTATTTGATTACATTGGAAACATCTGTGATAATTATCTTATTTGTACATGAAACTGGAAATTATGTACCTTTTAAATTGATGCTGGGAGAGTAATAAACCCAAATGTGCATATGGGTATAAAAAAACCCTTCTGAAATTGAATCCTTTTGAGTTTTCACAAAGATATTGAAAAAGGACTCATATTTTTGGTCTTGAATGATAATGTGATATTTATCATTTATACAGCCCATTACAAAATCAAATTTGTGATTTTCATTATTCCTAAGCTACATATTGGCTGTTAAATTCTTTAGATAATTTGTTGGTGGACTACTAAAAAAAGGTATCTGGCACTCGACCCACAATGGAAGCTCACCTAAATAGTTCTCAGGTACAAATGTGTATTTACAATGTTGTAACTTATAGGTACTCTGTGGAATGAGATAAATGGAGTGAAGTTTCTTACAGCTTGCTAATGTTTATACTTGAGAAATAAAATTCCTATATAAGGTATTTCGAGCCTTACATGAAATATAAGTAAGTTTTACTCATGATATTTAGTTTTCTATCTTTTGTATTAGTATCCTAACAATGCTTAATAAACACAGTTAATAAAATGATTAAAAGTGTGTTAATATTTTGGGAAGTTTCGGAGTCTAATTTTCAAAAGAAAGAAAAAGAATGAACATTATGCATGTATGAGTTTGGATGTGTTTGGACTTTGGATCATATCCATTATGCAACATTTGATGCTTTCTTTTTTTCTCAAACTAGTGTGTTATTTGAATTATGGTCTCTCTTTTTTTCTCTCATGGCTCGTCAAATTGGAAGGATGTCGAACAGGAAAGAACGAAAGGTTTGGAGTTTGATCCACGTTTTCTTTAATAATCAAATTTACGAGAGTTGCCATTCTCTTAGGACTAAGAATTTGTTATGTTCTTTTGAATGATTACCTTTCTATGTTTCAGCCGTAATATCAAATAAGACTTAACCAATTGATGACACATGAAATTGAGATGAAAGTAAGAACTAGGTATTCATTGTCACAATCTTTTATTCTTATTTTTCATAATAGGCTTAGGTAATAAATCGATTATAAGTTCTGCCAGGTGTAAACATTGAACCATGCCAATTTATCACATTATTTTGATGCTAGTACATTATTTTAAGGTTCCAAAGCTATTTGAGCATGTCTGCATGATTTTGGATATGCAACTTATCCTAATATATGTTACTTGTTATCTGTATTGGTGATTGATGAGATTTCTGTTTTTGTGAACTGTGCTAGATTGTTAATGGCCCTGAAATTTGGGGCAAGTTCGTTGGTGAAACTGAGAAAAATGTTAGGGATCTAATTACTGATGCTGAGAATGATCAAATGGCTCACGGTAATGAAAAAAATATATGTCAATTGCACTTAGGTTGGTTTTTCAATAATTGCTAATGTCATTATGTCCTTAATTCCCTAGGAGACTAGAGTGGTTTGCATGTGATAATCTTGATGAAATGGATGCTATTTGTAAGGTATAACTATTTCTTACTCTATGTTTTATACTAAGATCCCTTATAGGCAAGAAGGGAATGTGGTTAAGTTACATTACATGAAGAACTTGGGTCCAACGACTGGAGTAGGGGAGGATAGGATTCTGAAGAAGGGCTTGGTTGTAAATATGTGGGATTTGTTGATTTTATGAAAATTTAGAATTTTTTTGTTTTGTTTCAAATTTTTTTTTCTTCTAATTGAACCTATTGGGCACGATTTGAAATTTGTGCGCATGATTGTCTGTCATCTGACATGTTGTCAGAATTAAGGCACAAATAGGCTATTATTTGTGCTTTCTCTATGAGCACAAAAGCAATATTGTGCGTTATTACCAATGGCCACGCCCATAGAGGGCACAGACAATATTATAGTTGCCACATTGTTGATATTGGTCTATGGGCACAAATAATTTATTGCGTGCAGTGCCCATATTTGTTGTAGTGGTTCCCCATGTTTAAGGCCAGCAAAACCACTTGGGGAGGAGGGGGTGGTGGGGAGGGTTCCATCTAATCAACCTTTGCTGCTTCATGCTAGTAATAAGATTCTTCTTGTTGGTATTAGTATAATCGTTCCCCATGTTTAAGGCCAGCAAAACTACTCTAGAAGGATAAGCTTTAGCAGTATTAAACACAACTTGATTCCTCATCTTCCAAATTTTACCGACAAATAAGGAGAGCTATACTAAGATTTGACAAATTCTCACTCATAGAGCCAATCAAACAAACTCCAATTAATTTGATTAGCAGGAGGTTTCACTTTCGGGATAAGCTTGATTGTAAATACATTTGTTTTTATAATTCAAACCAATGGGAAATTATTAATTAAATAAATTTAAAAAAAGGTCCGTCTCATGTGCTTTGGATTGTAATGCGTCATGCCGATAACTTATATAGATTGATTGCCAATTTCATAATTTATTCTTTCAATTTCCAACCTCTGCTAGCTGTCGTTTGCTTTTTTTTCTTTTTTTATTTTTTATTTTTATAGCTGTCGCTTGTTGAATATAGCTGTCGCCGTCGTCTGTTGAATATTGATAACAGTTGAAAGCAATACTGGTATTATAATTTCATAATTTATTCCTTCAATTTCTAACCTTTGGCTCTTGATTCCCCAGGGATGTGCCCAATCTTTCATTTACAATAACGTATCTTAAGTATAAAAATTTTATAATTGAAATCACTCAATTTCTTAGTCTTTATTTGAAGATGACTCTTACAAAAATAATAATAATAATAATTCCAATCATAGACTATTTAATTATCCAAATGTAGAAAAAAAAATCAACAGAATAGGTACCAAATAGCACATTCATGATAAACCGTTAATATGTTTGATACATTTGGATAACTAAACGATCTTCGATTTGAATAGTTTTTGTAGAGATAGATGATCTTGAAGATTAAGAGATTTAATGGTTTCGATTATAAATTTTAATGATAAAATTACGTTATTTGCAAGTGGAAAAATAAGCTCATCCTCAAAGGTGAAATGCAATCATTATCCATTTTTATATTAAAGTTAGAGTAAGCATACGCTTTATTTGGCTCTTGCAGTTTACATATATGTAAGCGTGTGTGTGTATTACATATATGTATATGCAGCTTATCAACTCATAGCCTCTTAAGCTTGTGAGAACTGTGAAGAAAGTTAAACATGACCACGAGCACCCAAGCAGCAGCGGCCAAAATTCCAGTGGTAGATTTCTCCCTGGACGGCATGAAGCCCGGGACAAGTTCTTGGCTCTCAATACGCGACGACGTTTGCCATGCACTTGAAGAGCTTGGCTGTTTCATAGCAATCCTGCCCAACAAACTTCCTTTGGAGGAGCTCCACAACTCCTTCGTTGGTGCATTGAAAGAGTTGTTAGATTTCCCCATGGACGTCAAAGTGCGAGACAAAAAAGGGGCCTATTTATCTATCCATCCTCCCCATGAAGGCTTGGGGGTGCTTAATAACACCTCTGAAGAAATTCAGAAGTTCACTCGTCATTTTTGGCCTAATGGAAACGATCTTTTTTGGTATGATTTTGTAGACATATTTATTACATATCAATAACTCTCATCTTTAAGATTTAAACTCAATACATAATTTACATTTTTTCTGTAGTTATGTAGTTTGTGGACCAAAATATAGTTATATAGTTAATAGTTTATAGCGTTCCCTAGCCTACCGGCTATAGCTGTACTACCATAGGATTTTAAATCAAAGGTTCTGATTAAAACATTAGAAGCAAATTTTTGTTTTTTTGGGCAAAGAAGCAAATCTATTTATTATTCATCCTTGAAGGGTGAGTGATTATATATGCATTCTTTAGTAATTACCAGGTGACCAAGAGAACATTAAATTATATGTATATTAGTTAATGTTTGACATATTGACTTTACTTGTAACTTGCACATTGAGAAAATGTTGTGTTTATTGGCCAGTGAGGGTGCACTTGAGTATGCAAAGGCGATGGCAGAACTAGATCAAGTTGTGACAAGAATGGTATTTGAAAACTACGGTGTAGAGAAGTATCATGATGCTCACGTTCAATCAACTTCTTACCATCTCAGATTCAATAAATACAAAAATCCCAAGAAAACTGGAATGGACGTGGGGTTAAAACCTCATACGGACAATAGCTTCTCCTCCATACTCCATCAAAATCAGGTCTGTGGTGTGGAGATATGTACAAAGGATGGTGACTGGATAGTTTTTTATCCTCCGCCGTCATCCGTTATATACCTAGCCGGAGATGTATTTCAGGTACATCGATCTCGAAATATTAACTTCTTCATGTATAATTATATAATTTCATGGGTATTTTGACTCAAATTTCTCGAAATAGATTTGGAGCAACGACAGAATACGACCTTGTAGACATAGAGTTTCGTTGACGGAAGATGAGGTAAGATTCTCGATTGGGCAATTCACATTTATGAAAGAGGTGGTGAGCATACCAAACGAACTCGTGGACGAGGATCACCCTCGACTGTACAAGCCACTGGATCATTTAGAATTTTTCAAAGAAGTAAAACTCATTGACGGTAAGCCTGATCGTTTAGTCCAGGAATATTGTCGCATTTGAGTTCTTTGGTCCAAGGTCCAAGATCCAAGCAGCTGGTTCCTCTTTTGCCTTTTATTTTCTACTGTCATGTATTTTCTTTTCTTTTATTGTTTCTTCCTTTTCAGTAAATTAGATTGCTATCGTTAAATAAAGATGTTTTCTTGCAAGAGACCATGTAACTCAAGTTGTTAAGAACATCTTCCTGTACACCTGAGGTCTTGAACGACCCTTCCTACCCTCCCGCTTGTATTAAGAAAAAAAAAAGTAGTTTTTTCAATTAAGTATTGTCGCATTTGAAATGACCCACACCTTGACTTTTCATGGTATTGGCTCTGGTGCTTCACCGTGTAAATCATTTACGAACCCCCGAGGATTGTCAACATTCTAATAGCCATTGTCAAATTCGTCACTATAAATTAATTAAAGAAAACTAAACAAAGAAGATCAAGATTTATGTACACCGGATGGAAACCAAAAGACCGCATACATATTTCTTTGATAACAGAATCCTTACCATTAGCTACTTAGTACTCCCATGAAATCCCGTTCCTGGATTTCATTGTTATAATCTACGTATTTGTACTATCGAGATTTTATATTATTTCTCAAGAATTTATTTTAAATTGTTTGGATTTAGATTTTAATTAAACTAGTTACGAAGACTGAAGTTTGGAAAATAATTATTTAAATTCGTTGACCTTTTGAGGTCACAAGTAACGTTTTCGAATAGGTCTTGAAGCCACGAGCGTATAGGCGAAAGCCGTTTGCGAGTCCGAGTTATAACGGTATAGTTATGGACATTTGAAGTTGTGAGCTATATAGATTGTGGGAATTATTTAATTCCCACGTGTGGGTTAAAGGTTAAGTGAGTTTAATAAAGAGGGAGAGGCCAATTAGAGAGGAGGAGGTTTCTGAAAAGAAAAAAAAAACGGAATGGCTGATTTCAGCCTCTTTTTGGGCGATTTCGACCCATTAACCCGCTATCTTGACCCGCTCATATCTCATTCATCCGAGCTCCGTTTTGGGTGATCTTGGTGTCCATGGAAAGCTCTTGGCGAGCCCTACATCTCGGTATTTTTAGATTTCCCATTTTCTTATCCATTTTTCCAGTTCGAGGCAGCAAAGTTCCGTGGGTTTCCGACGGTTTTATCATTTTTCCGGTGAATCCGGCAATCATTTCCTTCGAGTGAGGTATGAAACTTCATCTACTCTTCATAATCTTCAAGTTGTTTTTTATGCCTTGAATTCCATGCTAGAGCGCGTTAGTGTGGACCTCAGGTGAGTGACTTTAATATATGTGATATTGGTGATTACCCTGTTTTCGTAATTGTTATCCTATGTGGATATGACTTGGTTTTATAAATATGTTTTCTATTGAATTGTTATTTTTAATGTTTAGCCATTTATTTAAGTTTATGAAATGAGATTTGACATGTATATATTGAAATATGGTTTGATTGGTTTGATTGACATGTTGTGATGAAATGTGAGGACTAGTGGTAGGGCTGGTTTGGTATTGCTGTGCTTTGAAAAAAAGCTGCTGTGAGAATAAGCGGCTGTGAAATAAATCAGCAGAGTGTTTGGTAAACTTTTTTGTAAAAGTGCTTTTGGAAAAAAAAGCAGTCTGATAGTGGGTCTTTTCATTAAAGGAGCACTGTAGTTCTGTGTGCTTTGAAAAAAAACCAGTTTTCCAAAGCTACAAATTGCAGCTTCAGCTTTTTCCTTTGATTTCAACTTATTCTTACAGCAGCTTCCAAAATAAGCCATTTTTTTTAAGTTTACCAAACACCAAAAACACTCCCAGCTTTTTTTCATAGGAGCTTTTTTAAAATCACCTCAACCCCAAACTGGGGCGTAGACCGTTAACCCGTGGTGATGGAGATTTGTTGCTTCGATATGGTTTCATTTCCTGCTTCGTTGATTCGTTCTAAACTTAGTATTTGTGCCTTATATTCCCTTGGTTGAGCTTTTGTAAATTAAGTAACTTGTGCTTATCTCATTTCTTTAAGCTGTTGTACATATGGTTGTTGGCCTTCCGCGATTCCGTTGAGTGATGGTCCGGAATCGTATCCACTCGAATTCCGTTGAGAGATGGTCCAGAATCCTTCCCACTTCGCGATTCCGTTGAGTGATGGTCCGGAATCGTATCCACTCGGATTCCATTGAGGGATGGTCCGGAATCCTTCCTACTTGGCGATTCCGTTGAGTAATGGTCCGGGATCGTATCCACCTCGAGTTTCATTGAGTTGGATTGAGATAGCTTCAAAGATGTAAGTTTCGGCCGAACTTCGTCCCTCTAGCCCTAGTTTTTAATGTACATATGAACGATGGATTTTGAGAATCTTGTGCTTTGAATTAGGAAAGCAGTTGGATGTCTGGGTGACTTCTTCGAAGTTGTTAGTGACTTGATTATAATTTCATAAAGCATGATTCTATACTTGATGTTTATGGATTGTGATCGATGACACTAATTTTACATGCGAGAAACCGATTCATAATTTTGGTTCCGTTAAGTGATCCAGAACCCGATGTGATTTGGATTCCGTTGAGTGGTCCGGAATCCCTACTCTTGCTCATTTCCATAAGTTAGACTTGTACCCTGGATTCAAGTGAATGAGAATTAACCACAATAGATCTTGTGAATATAAATTAGAATTATCAAGTTATTACTTGAAATCCAGGCAGGGAATTATATAGAAGTCCTTCATTAATTTTGTGCATTGAGGTGTGATCTGATTGATATTAACATAATTACATGTTAATATCGTGCCTCCTTGATATCATGGAATGGGTTACTTGAGATGATTGTGGAAGGATGTTGAATATGATTGTTATTAATACGATTAGATCAGTGATCATTCTGAATTGAGAATAATATTATGCTTCATTGGTTCTTTGATATGTTATATACTATGAACTGCGATATTATGTGAAACATAATGATTTATATGATGGATGAAATAGAAACCTTGATTGTCATGCGGGTTGTTATGTAGTTTGAATCGAATAATTCATGTTTGTCAAGTCCAAATGTTTGATTGAGGAATGTTATGCATTTTGGCTTGAACAGACTGTGTTATATGTCGAGTTATAGCGAAGTTGAACTATGAATGGCTTTATCCCTATTGAGGGTACGTAGGCAGTCTAACGAAGAGGTTAGATGCAGCCATAAAGTATACGCAAAATTATTATACATCTGGATCTTGAATTATATTTTGTACATATCCAAAAGGCAGGGTACGTTGAGTTACGAGCATTTAGTGATGTCACGTGTCGATCTTGGACGTATGTCGGGATAGGGGCATGACAACTACAGTTTAGTGGTATTTTTCTTCACTTGTAAGTGAGAGGTCTTAGGTTCGATTATCGCCAAAAGTGAATTTGAACCAAATTATTACTAGCCAATTTTGAGGCTAAACTCACCATTCTCCTTTAGTATAGATAATATTGTTTGCTAAAAAAAATAAAAAAAAGAGAATCCTTACCATCTTGACCGAAAGCGTCATCATTTGCATTGCATCATCAACAAAAGTGATGCTTTTATTACACTAATAGATAAGTCCTTCTGAAACCTAGGATTAGATTTCATGTCGATAAATTCAACTTGACAAGCCTTTGAAACCTTTTCACTTTCAAATTCTCTTGTTAGCCTCTATTAGGTGATTACACTTGTAGCCAGAAACGTTCTGTGTATCTCTACCATTTAATGTATAATGTAAAGAACATATTATACTTACCTCAAAAATAAGAGATGAAAAAGATGGATGTTTAACTGTGGAAATTCCTGCAAGGAACGTAGTTGTTCGTCCGTTTAGTGTTGGTGTCAAAACTTGGACAGAGCTTGGATCGGGTTCAACACTTAGTTGATTCGAGTGTTACTTTCTGTCACGGCGCTACAGAATGGCTCCAGAGAAAGATAGAATAGGCATGCAGCTGTTGGAGACCGCAAACAAACAATGTTCGTGTTGTGAAAGTTGCATGCAAATCTAACTTAACCAAATGATTGTGCACGGAATGGGACTTAGACCAAATGATTGTGCAAATCTAACTTAACCAAATGATTGTGTACCGACCTCAAACAACAACAACAACAATTCATGCCTAAAAGGATAAATAGAAAAGTGTTGTAGTCCTATTAGATTAGGAATGTGATTGTGTAAATCCTAGTATCTAGTGATATCTTGGAATATTCTCTAGGGTTAAATATTATCCTATTAGTCCAATACTGTGTTTGTTCCATGCTGGGACTAAGTGGGACTGGACTAGACTGGACTAGCTGTTAGTCCAATACTGTGTTTGTTCCATGCTGGGACTAACATTAATGAGACTAAAGGGGACTAGCATGGACAAAACCCTTCACTAAGAGGTCTTAGCGAGACCCCCCAATAACTATGGGACTAGCTAAGACTATCTTCTCTCGTCCTCGTCATGCTCAACAACCACTTCCGATAGACTCCCCGTCATCTCCGGTCACTTAGATCATAATAAAATATTAATAATTTATATATTAAATAATATAATATTAGAATTTGTTATTATCCAGCTTCTTAGTCCAACACTGCACCAAACGCTTCACTAAGTTAGTCCAGCTTAGTCTAGTTTAAGCCAGTCCAGCTTAGTCCTTGAAGCTAGTCCAGTCCGAGATAGTCCGGCGCAACAAACGCCCTATAAAGGGTAAGGATTTAACCTTCCCTACTACTATAAATAAATGCACAATGGGGTGATACAAAACACACCTCACAAGCAGTGGCGAAGCCAGGATTTGCCGAGGGGAGGGGCGAAATTCAAAAGAGTGCAAGGTTCAATCGAAACGGTTGCCTTCACATTTATAGATAATGTGAGAGTTTAAGATAAATACGCTGGGGTTTTAAAAAGAGAAAAAATACATACAAGAATAATAAATAAATAAAAGAAAAGAGAAGAGAGAAATGGGTTAACAAACCACAAAAAAATGTGTTGTCATAATTTAATCATTGATTAAGTTGATTGTTTTTTAAACGTTTGATTTGGATTTAATTTGTCAACATAAGTCTAGCGATATACGACTTGTTGGTGATTGAACTATGTAAAAAGTAGTTATGCTCATTTATAAGTGTGTTTACGCTAAAAGCCTAAAAGTGCATTCATTAGTTTATTCAATATCTAAATGCTTCTTCGTGAACGACTTCCTGAAGAATAATCTGACAAAAAGCACTTCGAGAGCTTAGAAAGATGTAAATTTTTATGGCAGATGTAACTAAAAGTGCTCTTTAGCCATTCCAATGGCATTGCCCAACAGGTCCATCCATACATACATGCATAA